AAGAAAAATAGTATACAGTGAACTAAATAAACTTTTTAAATTAGTTTTTCTCACACTGCAAAATATTTTTTTTTTAAATCAGGATATGGAAGATTCACCTAAGAGAGTTGGAAAATTCTGATTCCAGACTAATGGTGTATATATAGGTTTTAGGATTCTGTAAAAAACTAATGAGGTATGAATCTATTGTTGGTCACTGGCTACTATGAGACTGCAATCTCTTTACGTTGCTTCACTTTCTTATAGATTAGACTTCTAGATCAAAGACTCGAGGAGTGGCCTCTCATGAAAACCATCTGCTTTGGTTTAGCCACCCGGACAGTTTTCTATGCCTCACACAAATCCAATGATTTGTATGGCGTATATATATTAGGGAAGTCCTACTCACTGCCTTCTCGTGGTGAGGTTGTTTACGAAATTGAGAGGACGAAAAGCGAATGTCCGGCGCTTTAACCGGGTCCCAAACCAATGGTGTACATGGGCTCGAGTATCTTGAAGGAACAAATGGCGTATGAACCAATCATTGGTCACCGGCTACCATGGAACTGCATCTCCTTATGATGCTCCACTGCCTTGTGGATCAGACCTTCAGGTCGAAGGCTCGGGAAGTGGTCCCCTAAGAAAACCACCTACTTCGGTCTGGGTACCCGGGCAGTATCCCAGCCCTCATATAAATCGAATGATTTATATGGCGCATATGTATTTGGTGCCTCCTTATATCAAAGTTTATGTGTTTAAACAAATAAATAGATGAACTATATATATTTCACTTCATGTATTGTGTTCTTTTTACGATGAATAATTTCGAATATGCTATGAATATCGTCATATACTTGTATTGGTTAAATAATAAATACAATTGAGATCGATAGATACTAGTTAATAATACATTGATAAAACGACAACTGTTAATGAAACGAAATTATTTCTACAATAAATCTTACGTGTTAGAATGTTATCAAATGACAATGGAATAGACTTTTTTAGACGAAAATAACTTAAATGTAGAAAATGCTGCTGAACATAAAAATAACTAATTTGAAATTGTTCGAAATTGATTGAGAGATCCAGATTATTTTTCTGTCACTTACACTTCAATGACATTAAAACCTAACTGTCAGGCTTTATTTTTACTTCGTAGATTCTCGTCAGCTGCTTACAATCTGTGATATTTAAAATTATAATTACCTAATGGGTTTAAATTACTTACATGAAAGAGTTTGATTGCAGGTTTTATTGTGAAGACATATTCGTATAGTATAGCAAGGGTGTAAATAAATTGAATAGACTGAATATTGTAAATATGTAGCTTATATGCGATAAAATTCTACATTTTTTCTTTCAACCCTGTTGAGTCGGCTTTCGGAGAACTTCAACGGAGCCGAAGAGTCCTAGCCAATCAGAGCATGATGGAGGATTCTAGAATTCCAACGTGGCGTGCTACTATTGGTCAGCAGCATAATATGTTGATATTGTTGATTTAACAAACGTTAACATCTGTAAATACCCATGTTTTCTATACAAAAACGAACCTTGGAGTAAAGTATTTCTCTCATACTTTGCGTCTTCTCTCTGGTGTTTAGGTCGCTGTGTAGTTCTAGGTTGCGGGTTACCAGAATAGCTTAGGAACAAAATATAGCGTTCAATCGACAACACATATCAAACTCTTTCTCACATTTATTACATCATTGAGTTTTAATTCAACTATCTTCCAAATTAATAATCTTATTTTATCAACTGAGCTCGACTCACTATATTCCTATCAATATTTATTCATTATATAATCACTTGTTTCTAGCCGTTTGAACTGTTGTCACAATCAATGTTGTAGAATGCTCTTTCACATAAGGTATATATATTCACAATATTCAGTCTATTCAATTTATTTACACCCTTGCTATACTATACGAATATGTCTTCACAATATAACCTCCAATCAAACTCTTTCATGTAAGTAATTTAAACCGATTGTGTAATTATAATTTTAAATATCACAGATTGTAAGCAGCTGACGAGAACCAACGAAATCAAAATGCTATTGTGCTAGAATGTTTGTTCTTGTTCTTTTCAAAACGATAAAGGGAACTATATGTATGAAATGTCAGACTTTATTTTTGTGTACTCTTTGTAAGTGTTATCGGGAAAAAATGACTGACATCTGTTAGATACAATGAAATCCAATTTTAACCGAACTGTTATGATTTATTTCATCATGTGTTTTTTGAGATGGTGGAGAAGATTTGCAGCTCAGGTGGATGATTTTGATGAAGTTCTATGAGCATAAAAAAACCATTTTGCTCAGAGAACAAAACTTAATTAAAACGTATTTTCTTTTCTGTAAGTTTTTCCTCATTTCAATTAGAGTCAATCAGTCAGCTACAACGTAGGACCAGGCACATATATGCATCGGTCCAAGTTCCCATACGTCATTCGCATAGCAAGACGAACACCAAATTCATAAAAGTAGTCAATTCACTGGTGGTAACATATAAAAGAAAGATTGCATATGAGGATATAGTACAGGAAGAAAGAATTAGTTGGTAGAAAAAAAGATATGAAGGGATTTCAATCTCATAGTTTAAGGGAAAACAGAGAGTTTATGCACCTACGCTATTGTGTTCGATTCTGAGCCATGTCACCAAGAGTCTCCAACCATTAGTTACGATAGTCACGCGGACACCAACCAAGTAGCCTGCATCTACCAACATGACTCACACCAGAAGTTAGTGACTTCAAGCACTAATACTACGTTTTGGTTTAGCCGCCCCTAACTTCAATTAGAACCAATTATATAATAGAAACTGTGTATCTATGTATAGAATATTGTTGATTGAAATTTCCTTATTTCATGTATTAGTAATAATAATAATAAAAATGAACCATATATTACTTATTCATTTACTATTGATTATTTAATAAATTTTTAATTCATTCAATTAAATATACGGGTAATTTAATTCAATTTCTTTTTCTATTCAATAAATTACTTATAAAATACCCGCATTTTCTATTATAAACTAGTGAATCATTAATAAATTTAATTTAATTTTATAAATAGATAATCTACTATCATTATGATTTTTTAGATGGTTTACAGTTTAAGTGAAAGTATCAACGATGTTATTGTTCTTCATTGTTTTAGTATACCTTAACTATACAATATATACTTTAGATTAGAACAAGAATTAAGAAAGAATGATATATAAATTCCAATGAATTTGAACAACATAGATTATAGTATTGGTAGTAATGTGGTGTGGGTTACTTATATCCACATAAGTAATATTGTGGTGTGTGCTACTCATATTGACATAAGTAGTAGATGATGTTAGTCGTGAATAGAAGGTTTAACAGCAGAGAGCCAAGAAGATCGAATAGTAAAGAATGGAAACAAAATACAATTTGTATGAAAATGTAAGAACAATGAAGTCTGAGTCATTTTGACACATTTGATGAACATTTTGCAAATTAAGCAATTACTTTATGATTGTTAGATTTTATTAACAAGTCCTGTAATATTGTGTTAAATACATTCGATTGTTCCCCACTGGTGTTTGTGTTCACTACATTTGGTGTCGCTGTCAACCAGGAGGGGAGGGGTGCTGTTCTGCGAATGCGAATGGACTGATATTTGCAAAAGGAACAGTGAAGTTTGAAACGATGGATTGATATTTTGCAAATTAACCATTTACTAGATGGTCCTCAGATTTTAGTGAGATATTCTGTAATTTCATGTTGAATACATTCGATTGTCCTCACTCGTGTTCTTGTTCACTACAGCAGTAGTAGTAGTATCAAAGTTTACGTAAAATTTAAGAGCATAAATGTTCGATAAAAGTATAGTGTAGGGATGAGTTTAAAATAACTGCGACGAATTTTCAACCAGTTCTTAACCAAATTAGAAAATGGCTTTTGTAAATGAATAGTTTATGATAAATAAAACAGTAATATCACAGTGTGTAAATAGATTTTATATAATTAATAAATCTGTTATAGTCTTCTATAGATTACTCTACCTTTAATTAAGAATGAATTTATCCTTATAGATATAGATTATCTGTATTCTCGAACCTTTTAAAGAACCTAAGTAGATTTTTAGGAGTTTCCACATTGGTCTTGATTAGAGTTATGCATTTATGGTTAGGATTATGGGATTAAGGATGTCAGTTTTTATCATGGACTAACACAAGTTGTAATCGAAAAGTGCATTAGGGATATTTTATATTTTCATGTTCTGTTCAATCTATGTAAACAGAATTGAGCAATTGATATATTTAAAATTATCATTTTTACTATTTAATGACAAAAACTAACTTTTCGCTGTGACTTTAAACGTTCTGAGCACTGTACAAAGGTATTTCTATTGCTCTCTACAGATGGTATTTGAATATTACGCTCGTCTCTATACTATATCGCATCTTCTAGCATTTTCTCAACTTGTTCACTAACGCTGACTGATTGAGATAAAGATAATCAGTATATTCAAATTTGAACCTAAACTAACCATGTCATGACTGTCTTGTTAATAAAAGTATCATAAATTCAACTAGGATTAACTAACTTTAGACTATCAAAAGTATATAGATTTGGATAAATCTAACTAGCCGTAAGCCACAGGAAGAGTGCTAATCGCGTGCATTAGTAAAAAAAAGTGATGGGTAACCTAGTAACTGACAAATATCTGTAAAGCATTCAAATCTCATATAGTAATAGAGTAAATGTTTGAATTTTTTTCTTACTAATTTCATTTTGACAAATTGAATAGTATCAGTTGTTGTAACACTTGAACTGTTTTTCAAAGCTGCTCGAGTGTATAAACCTATTGTTTGACCTGTGTTACTATCATGGAAAATTACTTCTATTTAATTGTAAGATAATAAATATTGGATTTATATAAGTTGGAACTCAGTTTCATAATGATTGGGAGAATTTAGTAATAAACTATTCGTTAATTGAGTATTAAATAGATTATTTATACTTCTTTTTTCTCATCTTTTTAGCACCGGAAATTATTAACTATGATCCTATCACATTTGCTACAGATATGTGGTAAGTTAATCATACAACAAGTTGTTAAGTGTATATTTGATCTGTCTAATAAATATATGAACTGGGTCGGCTAGTTATTAAGGTCGTTAGTTATAGGTAACCAGTAAACAAAGGATCAATTGCACTGCACTTTAAACTTTTGCCGTCTTTAGTCATTGTGACCTTATTGACATGGATCTTGTGCAACTGAATATATGTGTTACTAATGCATGGTCGTTGTACTACAACAATGTGATTGCTAATTCATTCGTAATTGTCCGTACAACCACTCTTTCTACTTATCATAATAAGGTCTCTGGGATATATTTCTGTTCCTAAAATTCAAAATGTTCATGCAAATTGATAATAGGACAGTCTTAATATGTTAAAATGTTGAAATGACGTTACCGATGTCAGTTAGAAAGCCATTGATTTTATTTATTTATTTGGACACATGAATATTGGTACAAGAGAGCGCCAATATATATGCGCCACACAAAACAATGAAAATTCAAGAGGAATACAAAGAAAGGAAAAAAAAGCTAAGGAGCGCAACAAAAAAAGAGAGAACAATAACGAAGAGATTGGTGTAAGGTAATGTGCTAGTAATCAGGGAACGCAAAGGTACAATCGGAAGAAATCTTTCAGGTAAGGGAGACACAACCACTTTTTATGAAGAAAGTAAAAGAAGGTTACAGCAGGATCGCCACTGGCTTCTATTCTGAGCCATATCTGATAACGTCTCTAGCCACTGTGTAGCACCATCTCTCGGACCCCAACCAGGGAGTCGTGAAGGACCAACACAAGCCAGTCCTTTGCAGCTTTCTTTCATGCCACGACACCATGTCATGCACTGACCACCTCTCCGCTTCTTCCAACCAGTCCCAGAGTCGGCAAATAATGCACGACGTGGAATTCTCTGGGACGACATTCGGAGAACATGTCCAAGCCACCGAAGTCGGTGTTTCAAGATGGTGACACCAATTGAATTATCATCTCTGTGCCCGAACACACGATGCCGAACCTCTGCATTACTGACATGGTGTTGCCACTGAATGTCAGCAATCCTTCGGAGACAGCGATGATCGAACACAGAGAGTCGTCTAACGTCCTCAACTCGGAGAGGCCAGGTTTCACAAGCATAGAGCAAAACTGCTCTCACCGACGCGTTGTAGATCCGACCTTTTACAGCCAGACTAACATCACGAAGGCGCCAAAGGTGGCCCAGATTGGCATAAGCCGCTCTGGCTTTCACTATACGTGCATTGATCTCATCACTCACACCCCCACCAGCACTTATGCAGCTACCCAGATACACGAACTTCTCGACTACGTCTATCTGCTCACCATCCAGGGTGAGTACAGGATTGGAATCCTGCACTTCGAAGGTGCAAAGCACATACCATACCTACGGACACTGATTGCCAACTGATTAAGTGCGGATTGCATGCCTTGGGCATTATCGCACAGTAAGACAATATCGTCCGCATACTCAAGGTCGAGAAGTCTTTCTCCAGGCAACAGATCCACACCACCATTACTTACATTCATCAGAGCTGTTTCCAGAATGTCATCGATGGCAAAGTTGAAGAGGAATGGTGAGATTGGGCAACCCTGCCTAACCCCACTGCTCGAATGGAACAATGGAGAGAGGTGGTTGTATGCCCTCACTCTGCCTGAGGTGTTTTATATAGGGCTTTTAGGATGTTAATAAACTTCTCAGGCACACCCTTCTTCAATAGACAATCCCAGAGAACAGTCCTGTCCAACGAATCGAAGGCAGCCCTGATGTCAAGAAACACTACGATTGTTGGCCTTTGATAAGTATGGCGGTGTTCTAACATTTGGCGGAGGGTGAAGATATGATCAATACATCCTCGACCAGAACGAAACCCAGCCTGCTCCTCGCGAGTCAATCTTTCTCGGGTTTTGAACAACCTACGAAGTATGACGGAAGCCAATAGCTTGGACGCAATCGGAAGTAGACTTATCCCCCGATAGTTGTTACAGGAACGACGTGAACCCTTTTTAAAGATAGGGACAACTATCGACTCATTCCATGACGTTGGTACACACTCTAGTTCCCAAACCTTTGTAAACAACGTCGTCAATTCCTTAGTCAAAAAGTCACCACCATCTTTAAAAAGAGCCGGAGGTAAGTCATCTGGGCCAGGTGATTTGTAACGCTTCAAGAGTTGGAGTTCCTTGCGGACTTCCTCCTCGTTTGGTGGATCAGTCGTCACCGGCCATGGAGGGCAGGACAGTCTGACCGATGTTGCCGGAGCAGCAGGCCAGTTGAACTGCCCTTCGAAAAATTCTGCCCTGCAGAAACCCAGTGCTTAAAAGCGGGACGTTTCGCAAACCCACAACTGACTGTTCCCGCCATTTTCATGGCGTCATGCAATTGCAACCAATGCTCATCTATACTTTCCGGTGGAGTGGTAGCTAGCCTAGAGGCTAGCTCGGTTCGATACTTATTTGCAACAGAAGTTGCAACCAGCTTGCTAATATCAATCCTTTGGTGGCGGTCACTTCGTTGGCCACTGAAAAGTAAGGCAAGATTGGCTCAGACCAAGGCATTGTCACAGTCCAGATAGGTACTCCAAAGGGAGCTGCAGTCTTTTACACAACCACGCCAGCGGTAGCTGATCGCGATGTGATCAATCTGAGTCCAGGCTTGAGATGCAGAGGGAGGACGCCAGGTGGCACATCGGCGATGACTGTGCCGAAAGTTAGTGCTAGCCAGAAACAGGTTGTGGTCTGTGCAAAGTTGCAGTAGACGGTCCCCGTCATCTGACCTGCGACCAATGAGTCCCCATCGGCCACCTAAACGACTCTCTTCTGTGCCTAGACGCCCGACCTGAGCATTCAAGTCTCCGGCTAATACTACAATATCTGTCGAACGCACTTTCTGAAGAAGAACAGATAACTGGTGGTAAAACTCATCCTTGATTGCATCCGGGCTGCAATCTGTCGGGGCATAGGCGGAGATGACGAAAAGACATCGTTTCTCACGCCGATTTCTTCTCACTTTGATGGAACTTTCTAATCTAACAGCACATAACCGCCATTGAAAAACAAAGAGAGTGTTGAATAACTGTCTCGTCTTTCTTTTGAAACTTCCAACCATTATCACTCACAACCACATTGGTTGGTTAGTAATCCAAGGAAGTTTATGTTTTGCAATGTCCGCTATGTCGCATTTATTATTACATAAATCTATTGTTTCTAAATTTGTCACAATGAGATAGAAATTGACTTTCATCCATAAAATATTTGGCTTAATCTCTATATGATTGACTTCATCAGTCGCTAATTCCCACTATAATTTTGAGAAATATAAATGAAATCTAGTCTGCAATGTATAATTAATAATAATTAAAATTCTTTTATGAACATTTCATTCAATTTGAAGGTGTTTTGTACATTTTAATTTCATAATGGTTCTATAATTGATATCAGTTCATAAAGGGAACTGTTGTTGAGTATGATAGTAGAATTTCCACAATTTGAGTTAACCTTTTAAAATGTTGTTACTGTGTTTCTAAAATAAAAAATTTTTTTTACATACTTCAAGTTTTGAATTGTATATCTTATATAGTTCTATATTTATCTTTAATTGTCGATTGCTTACTGTAATTATATAGTCAAACTGATCTTTTTTAGTTTCACAGTCCATTCATCATATCACTATATTTTTTCTGCAATTGTGAAACATAAAATTATAGGGTATAAACTGCAAATATTTAATCATAGGTGTCTTCAAAGCACGTTTTACACATAGTAAAGTCATCTAGTGAATAATTGGTAGATTGGGTGAATGTGTTGGTGAGACTATAAATTTTTGTTTACTGAGCCTGCCTAAGACATATGTATTATCAACGACTACACCTACTCGAAACGATGATACACTGGGCAGTGTTGGAGTAAGCTGTTAAAAACTAATATGTAAGATCAGTCTGTAAAATCACTGATCATGTGGGGGGTGAGGCTGATTAGTTCCCAGTTCCTATCTTGTTTAAAAACCAAGATTTTTGTGCTATATTTTTAAGGCATACTTTTTGTATTGAGTACAAGGTAGGCAAGCCGGCTCATTATACTAGAGTAGATCTGACAAGGTTCGACCTTACACTTCAATAGTTGAGAGTCATGTGATAAAGATTATTGTCAAATAAATATTTTCTGTTTTCTCGCAATAAAGAAATATTTGTAATTTTTTATCATCCTGTTTTCATTTTTCCTATCACTACTACTACTGCAACATTTGTAATTATACTGTCGAATTTCTTATAATGATCATCATTATCTGTATAATCTACGTCATTGACTCATAAAAGTGCCTTAAAATCTGGCCTCTGTTTTAACATTCCAGTATATTACATGTAATTAATTGATTTCTAACTATGTAGGACTTGAAAAATTCACAACTCCATTTATTTATTTATTTAAAAACATAAACATTGGTACAAGGAGGCACCAAATATATATGCGCCACATATATCATTGGATTTGTGTGAGGGATAGAATATTATCCGGGTGGCTAAACCAAAGCAGATGGTTTTCATGAGAGGCCACTCCTCGAGTCTTTGACCTAGAAGTCTAATCTATAAGAAAGTGGAGCAACGTAAAGAGATTGCAGTCTCATAGTAGCCAGTGACCAACAATAGATTCATACCTCATTAGTTTTTACAGAATTTTCCAACTCTCCTAAGTGGATCCTCTCTATCCACCAACCTGGTTAAGGATCCGGACATTCGCTTTTGGTCGCGATAAAGCATTAAGTAGGACCCCCGGCAATGGTTGTGCATGCATAACCAAGTGTGTGCATTTCTAGAGAGATAGCTGACTCTCACCACCCTTGACAGTACCGCATTTGGGGCATTGCATCAATAAACCGTATCTACATAGCACCCTACTCTTTCATTTAAAGTTTTCAAACCTCAACTTTTATGTTGACAATCACCCGATTACTATGCGTCTAATTATCCCATTACACATCGATATATATTTTATCACAGCCT